TTATCAATAATATGGTATTTTATATAATTTAAAAAATTTCGAGAATTAATTGAAGGTTACTAATGGAGTCAGAACCAATTATCTATTATTGTTTATCCTCTTTAACCGATTGGTTTATTTTACAGTTTTAAATACATGATAATATACTGAAATTGGTTAAATGATTCAGTTGTGTTTTCTTAATGCATGTATTATTTGCCTTGCATTAATTTACAGTTAAATTGTAAAATTGAAAATTAAATGTAAATGAAAAATTGATTAGTTAAGTGAATGAATGAATGGTAGCCTTACAGGATATCTTTGGAGATGGTGGACAGACTGGGTACATAGGGAACCCTACCGTGAACATTGCCTCATACTGGATGGGGTATCGAGGATTGGTATTTTTGGCTCTCATACTGGATGGGGTTTGGGGACATCCCGTTTCACCCTTATATTGGACGGGGTATTGATGGATGGTATTCTTGGCGCTCATACCGGACAGGGTATGGAGATGGTCGGTTAGTTGACAAAGTTGAATGATGGTTCACGCGTTGTGGGACATTCCTATGGGTCCCCAAGGATACCAATAGACAAATAAAGAGGGAAAGTTATTGGTCTTGCTCACTTGAATATAAGATTGAAATTTTATTTGGGTTATTATCTTTATAGGTCGATTTTAAAAATCTCGCAAACGGTAAATATATGCAATAAATAGTTTTCTTTATGATAAATAAATTTACTTAAATCAAGAGTTCCATTTGTTGTTTTTATAATTTTTACTAACCTTCAGTTTCTGTATCGGTGAGTAGTATGATATTCTTAATGGGTTAGTGTAGCTTACCATTTCATTAACTATTTCAGATCAAGAGAAATAAGACCCAGATCTCGATCAACAAGAGGGTTGTGAATAGTTCACCATCCGGACTCCCTTCAAAAGTTTGTGAAGGTCGTCCTAGAATGCTCATCATATTACCTTTTATTTATTTCATTGATTTGTTTGTTCTTTTAGAAGGGTCGTTCCCGTACCCCTATTGGACATTCTAAATTATTATTTAAGGAATGTAAACCCTAATTCTATTATTCCGCTTCCGCATTCAATTCATATTGTTATTTTCTTTTAAGTTCTTGGCTTTACAACATATTATGGATATAATTTTTTTTTTTATCTATATCAGTTTCATGACCATTTAATCTTACTTGACCACTTACCCTAAATAAGTCCTCCCTATAAGTCATCCCTAGTTAAAATTGTCTTCCCATATCCCACATGGACCTCGCTTACCATTTGCTTTAACTATTTTATTTGCCCATGATATCACTCCTTACCTTAAACATTGTAGTTGTTAAAGAGGTTCTTGTGCATTAGATCAGGTTGTATCTTATTGAAGCTTCACAAGAGCCTCTTTAACAGCTACAACTTTTGAGGTAAGGAGTGTATTATATTAGATTATATTTTGTTAGAGGTGCGTGTGTTTGTTGGCCGAATTGAAAATCGAATTAGACCAACAAACATAACTAGATTGGATTAACAACTTTTTGGCCTAATATTTGGTCTATGAGAGTTTGGACTGAGAAAGCTAGTTTGTTCAGCCTGCTTTTTGTGTGAACCGGTTAAAAGAAAAAAAGAAACCTATGTATAAACCCTAAGCTAACGCCTTCTGCTTCACTCATACCCTTCACTTTATTTACATTCTAAAAAGCAAAACAAAACATTCTCTAATTTCGACATCTCTCTATTAACATACATGCATTTGTTTTGATGAAATGACAAATGCTTCATTTATACTAACATTCTTTATGTAAGATTTTAAAAGAATATTTGTACCAAAACTAAAACAATAGAAGTATAACTTAAGATCTCTTGGACATAGGCAAGAAAAAGAAAAAATAAAATATGTATTACTCAAAGAATACACGAATACATTTGAAAGTAACAAAATTGAAGACATAAGTCTCTATGTATAGTGTCCTTTAATGTAAGTAGGTGATTTCATTTCGTCGCTCAAGATTCTTTTTTAAAAAATATTGTAAAATTCAAATTTTATTCTTGAGGTTATCCATATGAAAAAAATATTTTAATATAATTTTAAAGTTCTTTAAAAGTTGGAAAAAAATTTAAATAGATTTTTAAAAAAAATTAATTTATGACATAAAATATAACATATAAATTTAAGTCAATTTTCTTGCGATTTTTTATGTGAAAAATGTTTTTTTCAAAATATTTTTAGAGACACAAATTTTTTTAAAAAAAATGAATGAAAAACTATTTTAAAGTAACTAAGGCACTAGGACACTGTGAGGAGGCATGTGAAGATGCAATATTCATTGTGAGGAAATATGTGATGATGTGAGGATCACATTTGCGCTATCTACACTTTGTAGACATGTATTTGATTCGTTCTGCTTGCATTTAATGCCCAAAAACATCTTCTTTTTTTTTTTTTTTTTATGTGTCTAATGGCTAGTTTATTCTTAGGATCACAAAAGATCTTCACCTATATTATTTTTGATGATTTTATGGAGCGAAATTTAAATCTTGAAAGGAAAAAACTTTATACTTCACTCTTAAACTCAAAAACTTTGAATTTTCTTATGCTCAATCTTACTATCTATTTTAATTTTTTAGGAAATATTTAAAAACTTCTTTGAACTTTTGATATTGTTTATATATTTATTTATTAAACAAACATTTGAGAGATTTTAGAGCTAAATTTTGATTTAATCATTTGAAAAAATATACTTCCCTACTATTGAGTTTCAATTTGAATTTTTTTTTTTTTTTTTTTGTGAGAGTTTGTTTTAATCCAAGTACTTGAAGTTTAAAAATAGAGATTTGTTTTTGGAAGAATCCCCTTGAGCTAAATACTTGAAAAATCAAATCATCTTGAAGCAAATATTGAAAAATCTTTTTAATAACATCTTGGGTTTCATCTTGTTATTTTTATTTATGTGAGAAAAAATGTTAAATTTTTTATTTTATATTCTTAAAAATTTGTAAAAAGAGGTGTCGAAACCTCTTAGTCGTTGAGTATTTGATAGAAATACTTAAGTAATAAAACTAGGTACCTTAAACTAGTATTTATAAGAAGTAAAGATAGAGACCGAAAAAATAAACATTTATAACAATTTGAGAAGATAATAGAAATACCCAAGTAGTGTACTCAAGAAAAAGATGTTGGTGCAAGTAGGTGGTCTAAATTTTATAAAAATCAAGTTTGTAGTTTTTCTTCCCTTATTTCTTAAATTTACATATTAGATTTAATTTACATGTTATAAGTTTATTTTTGTTTGGGTAGTTTGATCTTGTGCGTTTACTTTATTTATTTTCTTGAATATTGGTGCTCTAGTTACTATTGATCTTGAATTTATTATCACAACATAAATTAAATTTGTTGAATAATTTTTTATCTCATCGTAAATTTAAGAGCAATTAAGTTAAAAGCTTAAACATCGTTCAAGTTATCTTCCTCAGATATTTATCACTTGCTAGGTTGCACTAACTATCAACACATTGTTATATATATATATTTTAAATTCGCCAATTTTTCAGAAACTCAATTTACTCCCTCTCTTGAGTTGCCTAGTGTATTTGAATCAATAATTGATAAGAAAGCAGATTTCTCATTTCAGTTTGATTTAAATGTCTTGGTGCGAAAATCTTACGGAAACCTTATTATGTGAAGGTCATTATATTTTTAGATTGCTTCTTTTTAACAGAACAAATTATACTTTTAAAACTTTAAAATAAAAAATTTCATTAAAGTTATGAGTCGTGATATATAGACTGTTAATAAATTAAAGATAGTTTTCATATTTTATGTAGAGCGGATGATTTTATTGAATTAATAATGAAAAAAAATTGGAGCTTATCTATAAAAAATATTAAATAAAATAAATTTAATGACGTCATTTTTGAGTTAATATGAAAGACATAACTCAAGAAAATGAAACGAACCATAAAAGATCACAAAGATATCAATAAGAAGAGAAACAAATTGAAGACCAAGAAGAAAATTATTTTTAAATTTGTTTGTCTTTTATATGAATTAGGTAATTCACGGCTAAAGGTTTAAAAAGATTTTTATCTCAAAAAATATTTTTGAAATATTATTATTTTTGCAGTTAATTTTTCATTATTTTTGAAAAGATAATTTTGTCAAAAATGATAATTAAAATTATTTTTAAAATATAATTTATATGTTGAATGAATTTTAAAAGTAAAAGAATTTAAGAAAATATTTATCTTTATGTTAGCATTTATGATTCTAAGAACTACTTCCATTTTAAAAACATGGAAATCAACAAATAAATTTTAAATAACTAGTGCAATATAATAATAAGTGATTTAGAAGAATATTATTTGAGAAGATATTTTAAGAATAATTTAGCGTTGTGTGTGATTGATAATATATTTATTTTATATCTTAATATAAAGATCATATAATTTTTTTAAATTAAAATATTTTTTTAAACGTCCAAAGTAGTAAAAATAAATAAAAATAAAAATTGTGATTTCATATTGTGAATCAGAATCATTATACGGTCAAAAAGAAATTACAGTCTTTTAGAAAAAATCCAATACGTGTAAAGTTGATTGCTTTTTTAAATTTAATTGTCAGTGCAGGTTATTTTGAAAGTTATATTTTTACAGCACCTTTTGAAAGTTAAAACTAATTTAAAAACATCTCTAATGATTCTTTCGACCTTTTCACATACGAACACATCCCTTTAACAAATCACTACATTAAAATTTACACACACACAAAAAAAAAAAAAAAAAATTAAAATAATTAATTAATAAAAAAGACTTCATCAAAAATATTTACCAAAGCGGAAATATATATGTTACCATTTTACTTAAAAACACTTCCATTTTTGTATTTTTCATCACACTGATAATTTCTTCCAGAAAAGCAAAGACTGATCAAATAGCCACTTAATAATAGCAAGTTTCTTGCATGATTTAACTCGTATCCATGGCACAAAAGTGCAGAATTGTCAAGCACAGAAGTGGAATCTGCAAGAAATAGGAGGCATTCCTATCAATCATTCCATTTTAGTATGAAATTCACACATAAGAAATTGATTAAGTTTATTCCCAATAGGAAAGTAACTAATAGTTCATAAAGTTAAAGTAAAATTTAGGTGATATAGTACAACTATACGGAAGCAAATAAAAGAAACTGTTTACAACTTGTGAATGAAATTGATCTTGCCATGGCCATTGTCTCTGGCCCACCTCTTTACCTAGCTCCTTACTTTTGCTCCAACATATTTTCCCTGGAAAAAACACATTATTGATCTCAACATGTTTGCAAAACAAGCTATCTGCTATCTAAAGCACAAACTAGATTTATTCAATACAAAATAATAATCCTTAAGCAGCTTGAAACTTATATCGGTGGATGCATCAACAGCTACATGGATTGCCATTTCCCAACCATGCTTTGGGATGTAAAATTCAACTTGGAAAGGGAAAAGGAAAAGTACCCGTCTTTCTGTGTGTGTGTGTGCATGCAAAAGAGAAACACACGAAGAGAGGTCACATTTTCTGGTGCAGGCCAAAGACAACTTTCCTGTCCTAAATTTTTGGAAGCTCATTTTGTTTAATTATTGTTTATTACTTTTATTTATTGGAAGCATATTCTTAATACATACAGTCTAAAATTATGATTTCATCCTGTGTCAAGAATATGTGAAGTCATTGTTCTTAAAACCAAAAAAAAAAAGAATATGTTAATCATTAAGCACAAAGAATATTTGAGAACTAAAAATTTTTCCTCAGGAAGTATTAAGTAAAAACAATATGATTGAAATTAAATAGGAATGGAACCAAACAGACCCTTGCTATTGTGTTATGATAAAATAAATTACCTCTTCACCAATTAATGTCCACATACACTAGAAATATATTCTGTGCAATACTTCCTGAAGCACTATCTAAGCCCAAAATTGTTTTAAAAACTAAAATCTCGCAGAGAGCTTGCATGTAATGTCTAATGGGAACAACACTCTAGGTTTCTAAAATGTTAACCACTTTGGTTCATTTACTAACGTAAGTAACTTTAAAACCACTAATTAATTTTACCTTCAACTACGGACCCACAGAGGCTCCAAAGTGAAAGGTTTCTCATTTCGAGGGTGAGCTGAAGATGCCCCAGTTGGAGGGGCATGTACAGTTATAGGCAGAACCCATTCACTTCTCTCTCTGGCCTCTATCAGGAGGGGATGCTCATATCTGAATTGAAAATTTCAATTAACTTATGAAAGATGACAAGCTATAAATCAATAATAAAAAATCACATTATAAAGAGGAAAAAATAGGAACGATGAATCAAATATAATTTAAACGGAACTTGACAAAGAAAAAGGCCAACATAAAAGTCAAATAAATTTCAATTGTTTATTGCAATAGCCAAGTTCATTTTATGAAGTGTATGGTAACACTTGAATATGCAGGGGCCTTCACATCAATTAAACACATCATATCTTGACATGTCACGCTCCCTTTATCATGTTTTCTTGTAAGAATCAATGCATCATAAACTTAATGGCATGGACTCTTTTTTAAGAAGATTAGATAACATGAACCTAGGTAAGACAAAACTTCTGTTTATTATATACATGGAAGTAATTCGGAGTTCCAATTTTTGCAGTGATTCGCTGTGTTCTGGGTGATTGAGATAGGTCCATTAGGCTCAATTCATTCATTGTATTTCTAGATTTAGTTATTTGATTTCAGAATTTTATTGCAGTTAAAATTTTTTATTCATAATTAAACAAACTCCACAATGATGGATTCACATCTCCACTTGTTAAGGAAAGATTTATAAAAAAAACCTAACTTGAATAATTGAAACTGGAAGTACATTGGATTTAGAATATTTTATCTTCATCACATTTGCATGTATTTTTATTCCTATGAAGTAAAAATGAAAATTTGAACCAAATACAACCAGAGTTAAATTCGGTTTTAGGTTGGCTACCATTATAGTATCCTAAGCTGGATTTGGGCATTTCAAAGGAGATATTGACAGATCTGTGGTAAAAATTATCCAATGACTTCAAAATATTCTGGTAACTATTTCTCTAAGGAAGTTTGTACTCTCACAGTTCTCGTAAGATTAATTTACAGTCAATTCATCTTTGTCACAAGAAGTCTGCATCCAGAACAATCATTTAAGATTTATGCAAACTGTTTGTTGCGGTCCCAAATCACGGATCAGCTTATGGGTTCAGATATGTGAAATTAGGGTTTAGGACTTGGAGAAATCACCAATCACTAGAGGAAAGGTATATACAACCTTGTTTTTTATTATTGTTTCCCTTGTTAATTTTATTAACTGTCAACTGTTTTGTAGTAAGCCATAGCATAAACATTTTCTTTCTAACCATATGCTAAAAACCTTCTAGTGTACAAATAACAATATATACATAAGAACCAAATTCTTCATTATAAGACTATTCTATTTCCTATTTAACATAAATTTTTCCTAATCTACCTATTTTCAAACTCCTAGTAAATAAACACAATTTTTCCTAATTAAGCTAAAACACTTCAGGAGATTATTCCAGATTTCCTCTCTCTTTTCTACCACTTCTTTTCTTTCTATCACTTTCTTCTTTTACCGCTTCTTCCTTTGTTGATTATTGGGGCATAACATGATCCCCTTTGGAAAGATAATCATCAACCTCATTAGCCACCAAGTTCACCCAAATTATTTGCTTTCCCTCGAATAAAGTATGCTGAGAATCCCCCAATTACTACCAATAATTAGAACCTAATCTGCCTGACCAAACCTTAACATAGGCTTACATAAACACTTAACAAACTGATAAGCCTGGAGTTCTTAATGTTAGAAGCTCAAGAATCATTATAATGAATGACATGAAAGTCTAATTAAGGCTTCTCACAGACACCCCCTCCGAAAAGAAATCCTTAAACAAAAATCAAGTCCCTTTTGACGACTCCCAGTTGCTTTGAAAAAAAGGCCCTCGACAAACCATCATGACACAACTTTGCCCACCTTTTGTTGTTTATCAAGTTTGTAACAATCACTTCCTTGACAAATACACCCAGTCCCTTTCTCAAGGATCTGATAAAGAGAACCAACCATCTAGCTTACGTCTCCAATCCTCAAACTTGCTTTGTTGGAAAAAGAAAACCTTTCACTGGATCATCCATGTTCCTACAAGCCTCAAATATTGTTCTCTTGCCTCCACCTTGGCCATCAAAATACTCTTCAAATTATTGACAAGGCTACAAAAAGTCTACCGTAAGAATCCTCTCCTTTACCAAGGAGTTTCTCAATATCTGTCTTCATGCAATCTCCTGCACAAGGAGGAAATTAGCTAACTCCACTCTTGAGTCACCATGATGCTCCCTTGTCCTCTGGATGACCTCTGACCAATTCCAAACTATCTAGTTTGATGAAGGAAAAAATAGAGTCTATTTGTCTAGTTGTGAATTAAAGATAAAATCTAGATAATCATAAGGTTTCTTAAAGCATTACCCTTATGTTGAATTGGTTCAAATTCCCAATTTCATTAAATAAGAATTAGTACATACAAATATGATATAAATTATGAATGTTGTTAAAAAAAAAAATAGATTAAAGGATATAAAAAAGGTAAATTACATCCTTTGTAATTAATTGTAGTTTATTGTTTATTTCCTTTTCCGTCTTAAAAAACCTATATATATAGGGCTATAATGTTTGATAAAGTACACATTAAACCATTTTTAACATGATATCAAAGTTATACATTAAAAAAATTCTAAACTTATTCAGAAATTCTACTCAATCTTCATTGCCAAAATAAGAAAAACCCTAAAAGGTCAGCCTTCATAACTGGCCATTTTAGTCCAATTGTTGGCCACCATAAACCAGCCATCTCCACCAAGATCGGCCTTCTAAGCCGGATCCAGCTCCTTAACTGCAGCTACCCAAGGTTGCCTTCAGACATGCAGACGCACACAGCCTAGCCGTGGTTGCTCTTAGTTGCACAGGTTGCCCAGACTCACAACCCTAATTGCCACCATCTATGCATCCCTCGGCCACGATCACCAGACACACAAGCCTAGTTATCACCGCTTGCAATCCGCTGCAACATGACCACAAGAAACTAAATCTATAAAACATATATTCTGTATTCTAACAAAAACTATGAGCGTTTGCAAAGGCTCAGTTAATGCAACCCTTGGCTCTTAGGAAGAAAGGGTCACAACTGAGCTTGGCTGGGGAGGCTCGTGGGTGTTTCCCCTTTCAACAGCAATCTTTTTGCTTTTAGAAATAAAAAAGTAGGCTTTGGTCTCACTAGGCTGGCTAGGAAAGGGCCAAACATATGACACCTAATACTAAACCTATTCCAGAAGTGTCACGCACACAATACCAAAAAACAAATAAAGGCTGGTAATCATGGTGCTTCTACCATAAGAGAATAGTTTTGACCAGCAAGAGTGGGGGAAATCACCTTGGGGAAAATCACCTTCTTCACTTTACAAGAGCATACCTTCTCCCTTAGCCATAATTGAGGGAACTTTGCAAATAATCAATTGCACAACTTCTGGCACCAGAAGAACCTCAGGTATGTTCAAGCCAACAACTCCCTACGAACCTTTTGGACATCAAACACCAAGCTCTTCAACAGAAGACAAGAGCTCACGGACACACATCCACTGTGGTTCCTTTTGGAAAGAAAATCTTATAGAATACGCCTTGCTCCTCAACCTAAGTTCCGAAAACCTTCCCTAAGAATTCCTACCAAACAAGTGCAGAAAGGTCTTATCTCCAACTTTGACACCCTTAAGCCAAGGGTGCTTACCACACTCTCACAGCAGCTCACACAGAATGGAGAAGCCATGAAATCTCTAAACCAAAATGTTAAATGTATTCAGCCTCTGGCCTTCTCAGAAAGCTAGAGAATGTGTGCCTCCAACAAAATTGGAAGTGTCTTTTCTTTTTCAATTAAAAAGAGGTATCATTGAGAAAAAAGAGAGACAAATGCAACACAGAGAATAGGACATCCTCCTCACACAACACGAGAAAAAACAATATAGATAAAGGACAAAGGTCATCTTGTGAGAGGATAAATGATTGCCTCCTAGTTCTGATGGAACTCAGAAAGAGTATGATTGGAATAACAACTACAAGCTTTGGCCCATAAGGTAGCCAGAAAATTCAGTTCATCCCACATCTCTTGAAACAAGTAAAAATCACTAAAATTTCTCTGATTGTGCTCAAACCATAGAATCCACTAGCCTACAAATACAGCCCCCTGCCAAATGGGTTTTACCCTCTTTATGACTCTCTCCCCCTCAATGCTAGATCACATTAAACAATCCACTGTTGGTAACACCTTTTTTTTTAAATACAGATTTGTAACATCTTATTATGTTGAGCCTTCAATGGTAACTGTTCATGCAAACACCTTCACCTTTGAGGGGAAACTAAGGTTTTTTACAATTCCTGGGCAGTAGAGAATGGATGACATGTGGGGTTTTTGTGAGGTGATCAAACAAGGACTTACAAAATTGAAAGTGTCTCCATCACCAAGAACTCCCCAGTTCTTGCGATAAGCATGATCGAAAGTGCAGTCCCAAGTGGTAAGAAGAAAAAACAAATAAGAAAGAGACCCAATCTCTAGACTAGAGATAGAGACAGGAAGAGAGAGAGAGAATACAAACATAAATGTGAAAGCATTATAATCACCATGACACAACCTTACAATATTGACATCAATTATTAATTATACTTTAAGATCAGGGGAACTTCTATAATTTGATGGTCAAGTAAAGGAATATACTACTGCAGTAAAACTCTAGAACATTACCTTCTCCAGTCGACATACTTTGGGGTGGTAAAAAATTCAAATCGTAGAGACCATTGCACTGAGACGTGGTTTGTGGAAAATGTCATGGGACCATCCATGGGAACAGAAAAAAGGAAGCTTGTCTGGACCAAATCTGCAACAACCTCATGGTGATCACTTTGAACCTACAAATAATTGAACATCCCACATGATAACAACTTGTTGTAATTCCTAAAAAATTCTCATTTGGAATCTATAAAAGACAATACTACTAAATCTCTCAGATGTTTTATATATATATATGACATTCATCAACAGATAAAATCATGTTTTAATGGAAGGGGAAGATATGCAAAAATGCAATAGGGATATTGAAGTATCCCCCGGTCTTAACTTTTAATATCATTGCATCATTTGAGTGCTTTGGATGCTTATATAAAGGTATCTATATTCTCAGACAAGGAACATCTTCAAGTTCTATAATAAATTCATACAAACATATCACAAATTTAACAACCATAACTAAAGGTTATATGCTAAAAGGTGTTGCAAGTGCATGTGTGCCTATACCATGAGCGCTTGATCTTCTATTTTTCTACAAATATACTCAACCAAACATTATAATTGCTTCCACATATGCATATTACATTTGGCATATTATGTAAAATTGAGAATCTTCACTCATTAATCAGTCAATTCAAGTAACAATTACAGAATCAAAAGTTATACCTTTGTAATCGTTGGTGAATTCCTTCGAGAAGGATGAAGAGACAATCGATTTATGGTCTCTGAAGTTTCCAGAGTTATTGAGACCTATAAGACACCAATGCTTCAAGTCAACTTTGGAAGCCTCAACATGATGTCATAATTTTTAGTTATTATCAATTATAACTGCATTGCTTATGGTGTAAAGTTACCTCCAAACATCGCTGGATTCCTTCATTAAAGAAGGTGAGAGTTCCACCTATCTGTTAAGCAAATAGTAGAGTGAAACCAATAAGAGATTATGGTTTTTACTAGCTGCTAGAGAGATTAAAAATGAAATGAGAAAGAGCAACTACCATATCACTAAAGTAATAAGTTGAGTCAGAGTTCTTTGGGGAAAATCGTAGAAGAACCTGGTCATCCATTCTAATATTGTAAGATCTTCCTCGAATAAAGCCCTCTGCTGCAGGAAAAGTTTGGATCAAATAAGTTTACCATTGATACACTAAACAAATAAACTAGATCTATGATATATGACAAATCTCTAAAATATTAGGTGAAAAAAGTATATCAATTTACATGCTACAGGTTCACTGCCTCGTGCTCCAGATGTAGAAGATACACCTGCAAAATCATCTGCAGAATTCTCTTTTGTAAAATTCATTTTTGGACTGGAAGAGACAATGTTTGATGATTTGTGAGGTGACAGGATATCTGTATAAAACCATATAAATAGTTCAGCAAGTTTTTTCTCATTTCACAAATAACAAAGTGCGGTCTTCAATTTTCCTGCAGCGTATGCTCAAGTAACTGTCTAACCTACCCAAAGTAGAATCATACAAAACCTCAGCAACAGACAAATGAGGAACTGCCAAATTCGAAGATAAACTTGTACGGGCTCCTTCAAGATATGGACTATCCTTAAACGAAGACCTCGTTGCAGATGATTGCAAAGATAATGAACTTCCAAAAGTTTTGTGTATATTTTCTTTACTTAAATTGTAGGAAGATACTGAAGAAACCTCATCGCGTGAGCTGTCGTACCCTTCGTCTACACTATCATTTATGTCATTTGCTCTAGCCTGTGGAGAAAAAACAATATGAATCAGTGATAGATTAACTCCAAACAATTACCAAAGCCATTATCCGAAAGCTATTTGAAAAAATGTAAAAATAAAGATGAAGGAAAAGGAAAAAGAAAAGAAAATAACCAGTATTGCGGACAGCCTACCCATTCAGAGTCTCCATCCATCTCTTTCCAGTACAAATCCATCTGGAAGGCAGTAGCAGGAACAATCCCTGAGAAATTGTAAGAGAAAGAAATTTTTCATGTTATTTTCTTAAACGTAAGACAAATCATGTCTCAGATAACATACTCAGATAACAAGTCCATTTTATTAAAAAGAAGATGCAGTAGCATGTAGCAAGGAGTCATTACTTCAGACGTCATCTCAGGCTGTTTCTCTATAGCATCTAAGTATAATTCTAAAAGAAGAATGTTATCCAAAAGGTCCAAGAATATTCTCGTAATCTATCAAGAAAATTTCCCTGCCTTACCCCCAAAGGAAAAGAAGAATCTCAAAGGGCCATTGTCAACAATAGCCATAAAATTCACTGGAAGAGAGTCAAGCCTTCATCCAATAAACCCATCCATCCCCAAAACCGAAGTTGCCTTAACATATAAAATAGAAATATCAGGACCCATAGTTGTAGTCCTTCTCCATATCAAGCTTGTAAACTAGACCTTTCATACCATTCTTTTGCACTGAGTCTACCACTTCGGTGCTAATTAGAGCTATATCCATAATTTATCTCCCCTCCAAAAAGAGATGTTGGAACTCACCCTCCACACCGCCCACGACAAAACATTCTTATAGCCAATACTATAGCAATTGGTTTGTAGAAGAAGCTCATAAGCTAATAGGTCTTCACTAAGAGAAAGAAAAACGATTTACACTATTACCTTGGACTGGTCTTTGATGACTAGTCCACTTCCTAGCCTAGTCAAAAAAACCATGGTTATCTTCTCCTTTTTCCTTTATTTGCATCTATTTTACTTCAGTCAATTTACCCTTCTTATCAGTAGCAATGGCCTTGATGCTTTTGGGCTTAGCCAGAACTGACCCAAGCCACAATTTGTTGGAGAAAGAGAGATTTTGAAGTTCGAAATCTCCCCAACCCATCACAATTCCAAACCGCTTCTTCAAACTCATATCACCCACAACTTTCGCTGAAGGTCGATGCTCTCTCTATCTTTCCATTGAGAGCAAGTATACCAAAGACTAGAAGAGACAATTTGCAAGCAGTGCAGGAGGGTTCATACACCACCATCTCAGGAGGATTCACATTAGATTTGTACACCAAAAAAATGCCTTTGTGTTCAAAGAAAGTGTTGGTGGCTTGACACCCTTACTTAAGATTTCATCAAAAAGCTTTCATAAATCTCTATTTGCCGTGAGTGTCAATGTCATCTAATGAAGATTATTTTTTCCCAAGTCCCTAACTTGCTAACTAAGAACCAACTATTGCCCCCTTATTTGACCCAAAGCTAGCTAAAGATTATACTTCGATCCCCTCATGCTTCTTACCCAGGAGCTCTCACCTCTCTCCATGTAGAACTCAAATAACATAGACAAGCCACTCCACAATAGAACCCCGAAAGACAACAAATGATCCATCATATCCACCATTCTTAGACAGTCTACCAAGTAATGGTTCCACCCTCGAGAGGAATGTTAAAGGACTTCCTCAATGACAAAAAATCTGAGGGGCAGGAGACTAGCATGTTAAAGAAGCTCGTTATGGGACAAGAGAAAGCTCTAAGGAGGGAGAGAGAGTGACAGGAGAGAAAATACATTCTATGCCAAAGTACATACTTTGGCTCAGTTGCATGCGTAACTAACTAAGCCACCAGAATACTAATTGTAGAGTATTAATCATATTTAATCTTCTATAATGTCCATTTGTTAATAATTTTTTTTTTAAATAAGAAGTATGAAAAATATCATTCACAAAGATATCAAGGGGGTACCACCCATATACAAAATTTACAGTTTAGTTAATATATCTGTAATATTCCCAAAATTCTCCACCCTATAGATATCATGCCCCATCATCAAAGAGCCAAAAAAATGAAACTATTGATCCCTAATCTTAGAAGTCTCATTCTCAATACCCTCAAAAACCTTTCTTTCCAAATCACCCAAATAATAGTAAGTGGCATTAGCTTTACAAATTTTCTTTTTTTATATAGGCCTTACCCAACCCAAATCTCATCTCTCACCGATCCCGCAATAATCCAATTAATTCCTAACAGCCTGTAGATCATCATCCAAAGTTCATAGGCTATTGGGCAGCAAAGAAGAATATGATTACATGATTCCCCAGCTCTCTTACACAAAAAATAACCCATTCGTTAATAATGGTTTTGGAAAAATCCTGATTTTAGAAATAAGGTATTCTTCACATTACAAATATATTACAAAAAATGGACACATGTTACTGTTCCAATCAAAATAAATTTAAAGAAAACTTACCATCATTATGACCTTCCATTAGTAATCCGTTGCTTTTTTGAGTTACCCATATTTGCAATGGTATCCGAGTTTCCTGTTGGAATTAATTTCAAATCAATAAAAACTGTATAAGCAGACTCATAAAATTCAAATAGTGGATATGTGCAAACAATGATTTGCAAGCATAGAAGCATGAATACTCATGTATAGTAATGAGGAGCCATGATGTTAATGAACAAGTAAGAATAAACTCATAATAGGAGATAATAATTGTTGCAACACATTAGAACACATGGACAAGAAAGAAAGAAGCTTAACAGAGCAACTCGGTGCTAAGCAAATAAACCATCAGCCTTCAGAACATTAAATAAACAAAACCCAAGGACTTTTTCTTTTTCCACTTTAAGCCTAAGGCAAGTAGACACCAGCCAAATATCTCACCCAACACATCACACCAGAGTAGCATCAGCAATGAT